CCAAAATAAAATAGTTTTCAACTGGAAGTTGTTTTTTTTAATTATTCTTTTTTTCTTTAGGGAGGGGGGAAGACGAATTACCCACTTCCCCCCATCTGTTTATTTATTTCTTGAGGGGAAGATTTATTTCTTTTCATCCTTCCCTATACACATACAAAAATTATAATGCGTTATATTTTACAGGTTTGCAATTTTTTCATCCATAACTGTTTCATGACGTAGTAGTAGACGAAACAGCAAAATGACATGCACTTTTGAACTGGCCAATCTATACGTGTGCAAAAGCAAAAATGGCGAGTCCTCACCTATAACAGTATCGGATGTTGCCAAAGCTATGGAACTATACGAAAAAGAAGAAAATGGAAAATTGGTATATACCCTTTGTGCGTTGGTGGGATTCGCATTTTTAGCTTATTACTTATTCCTATGGATTTGGAAAGGGTTGAAAAAGTTAGTGTCAGTCATCGCACAAGAACTACGTGTTGTTGTCAAAAACTTTACATTCACAGGTAAATAAGTTAAATAACCTATTTGCATATTCCAGAAAAAACGATAACAACAAGAAATCATTTAATTATGTATTGAATACTCCTAAGAATAAATGAAACGTATAGTTGATTTTAATAATTATGAGATAGATTTTAAGTTAACGTTTTAATATGTGTATTCAACAGCAAAATAATCCCACAACCTTTACATGTAATGCACAAAAACTTAAGTGTTAAATCACACTTCTGTTGTTCAAATATTAGTTTGCATATCAGCTATTATTTTAATCAGATTAATAATTTTCGTTTTATTAGAACTCGAGTTATTTAAATGTAAATTTTGTCCGCAGTATTTTTATTTTTATTTTAGTTAATGGTTTTCGTGTTAACGTGTTGATTACAACATTATTTAACCTTGATTATCATCAGTATTAGAAAGATTGTAATGACCGGAGGGGAGGAACCGATATTGAAAATTTTTTTTTTTTGCCAGAAACCGTTGCAAATGTTATGTAGCGATATGATGAACAGTGTAGAAATGCGTAAAAAAAATACGTTCTCTTTTAGGTGCAACATTGTCAGACACAGGAGGTGCAAAATTGTCAGACACAGGAGGTGCAAAATTGTCAGACACAGGAGGTGCAAAATTGTCAGACACAGGAGGTGCAAAATTGTCAGACACAGGAGGTGCAAAATTGTCAGACACAGGAGGTGCAAAATTGGTAGACACAGGAGGTGCAAAATTGTCAGACACAGGAGGTGCAAAATTGTCAGACACAGGAGGTGCAAAATTTTCAGACACAGGAGGTGCAAAATTGTCAGACACAGGAGGTGCAAAATTGTCAGACACAGGAGGTGCAAAATTGGTAGACACAGGAGGTGCAAAATTGGTAGACACAGGAGGTGCAAAATTGTCAGACACAGGAGGTGCAAAATTGGTAGACACAGGAGGTGCAAAATTGTCAGACACAGGAGGTGCAAAATTGGTAGACACAGGAGGTGCAAAATTGGTAGACACAGGAGGTGCAAAATTGTCAGACACAGGAGGTGCAAAATTGTCAGACACAGGAGGTGCAAAATTGTCAGACACAGGAGGTGCAAAATTGTCAGACACAGGAGGTGCAAAATTGTCAGACACAGGAGGTGCAAAATTGTCAGACACAGGAGGTGCAAAATTGTCAGACACAGGAGGTGCAAAATTGTCAGACACAGGAGGTGCAAAATTGTCAGACACAGGAGGTGCAAAATTGGTAGACACAGGAGGTGCAAAATTGGTAGACACAGGAGGTGCAAAATTGTCAGACACAGGAGGTGCAAAATTGTCAGACACAGGAGGTGCAAAATTGGTAGACACAGGAGGTGCAAAATTGTCAGACACAGGAGGTGCAAAATTGTCAGACACAGGAGGTGCAAAATTGTCAGACACAGGAGGTGCAAAATTGTCAGACACAGGAGGTGCAAAATTGTCAGACACAGGAGGTGCAAAATTGGTAGACACAGGAGGTGAAACATTGGTAGACACAGGAGGTGCAAAATTGTCAGACACAGGAGGTGCAAAATTGTCAGACACAGGAGGTGCAAAATTGTCAGACACAGGAGGTGCAAAATTGTCAGACACAGGAGGTGCAAAATTGGTAGACACAGGAGGTGAAACATTGGTAGACACAGGAGGTGCAAAATTGTCAGACACAGGAGGTGCAAAATTGTCAGACACAGGAGGTGCAAAATTGTCAGACACAGGAGGTGCACCGTTGTCAGACACAGGAGGTGCACCATTGGCAAAACCACTGGGTAATTTGTCTAAAGCTCCCTCCTCAAATGAAGCAACATTCAATGAACTGAAACCGATAAACGAAAGTGGAACCACAGTTGCATGTTCTTTAGGAGTCGCAGACTCGAATAAAGAGGCAATGCCAATTCTAAATAAAGCTAATAGTGTTGAAGATACCAATGAAATCTTAAACAACATCTTACAAAATCTTAAAAACGTAAATTTTTATGAACTCGTTAAAAAAGCAAACTATAATCATTCTGATGATACACATGAATGCGTAGAGAAGAAAAATATCAGTGGCATACATTCTGATAATAAACTGTAAGTGTTTGTTTTTATATTGTTTCATATTGCATATTATTAAAAATAATTGTATTTACTATTATAATGTATGAAAAATATTTATTTATTTTGCCTCTATTACCTGCAGTTTTATGGAAGAGTTTGTTGTTTCAATAATGCTTCTGTTTCAATTACCTTTTTTGATTTTATCGGGTATATTTTTATAGAGAGATAAAAAGTGTTAAAGACATTCATGGATTCATTTCATCCTAAAACAAAATGTTACATTATATAGGTAGATAACTAAGATGAGTTTAAGATAAAAATCAAAAACGACTATTTCATTAAAACAAAAACGTTTTATTTACTTTGGGACCTGTAGCGTTTCTTTCAGACAATCGGTTTTGAAACTTCCAGTCAAGTTGTAAATCATAAGAATGGTTTAAATGTATACATTTTTAAAATTTAGTTCCGAGGGAGGCGATTAATGTGTTTGAAGAGGGCGGGGTGGATTTGCTGTGAGATGCCTGCTAATTTAATAGCAATTAAATTTTTCTGTTGCTTATTTTTCGTCTTTTCAGTAACGTTTTCTTGTTGGGAAACATCACAGTCAACGGCTGTAAAAACGTTCTGGTACATGGCGATCAACATTTTTACAAGAAATCAAAAGAATCAACTCAAGTTCGCAAAGTAGACTAGAAAAACGTTCTGGTACATGGCCATCAACATACTAACAAAATGACAGACTTTTAATAACTAAACAAATAAAGCTTAAATCTCAAAACAAATAGAATTGTAACAGTTGAGTGTTAACCTTGAGTTGTGAAAGTTGATTAATCAAAAGTAGATGGTGTTAACTAACTGAAAAACAATATAGGTGGGTTTACTTATTTAACCAGGGTAGAATTAAGATGTGGCCTCTGGTCGGATTTCTTTTATGCTGTAACATTAGGTGTGGAAAGAGAAACCGGAAAACCCCGGAATGGCAGTGTAAAAGACGTAGATCTATTTAGTGCTTTGACGTATTTTAAATTATTTGCGCAATTAATTTGTTTTTGCAGGTTGTCCGGGCTCAGCCAATCCACCCTCGTGTGATATATAAAAAGTTCATTCAGAACTTAGAAGATAACAATATCTGTTTTTATTTTTCAAAATTACGAACACAAAATAATAACTCCTGAAAGTATGTTATATTTAATGTTGCCGTTCACTCTGACTAGTTGAGGTACTGATCGTGAACCTCAACTATCACGGTAAAATCGTCCATTTTCCATCACACGCATTATTCAGGAAAACAATACAATCCTTCGTAGGCGAAATTAAGGTACAAAGACAAGTAGTTTCGCATTGTCGAAAAAAGTGATGTAACACAGATAAACTTAAGGACTTGGTGTTGATAGATCAAGTCATGTAGTGATAAACTAAACTTAATATACCAGAGATGTTCTCTAATGACTTTACCATCTGCACTAATTCGTTTAAATTCCACAGTCAAAACAAAGTGATGAAAAATAGACGATACAATTGCGACATCGCAACAAACAATTCGATAGATTATGGAAGTATTGCCAGAAAGTTATTCGTCACAATGATTGAACAAAGTGTTAGCAAAACTTCTATGTACTCTGATACATGATGATAGTCTTATGTGTTTATTTTTTCTTTATATTTCTGGCTGCCTATTTCTGCCATTTGATAAATTGTATTTTAGATTAGGATTGTACGCTAATATACATTGAATTATTTGCGGTATACGCCTTTTTGCAAACAAACAAAAATATTCCTTAAAAAAAATTCCATTTAAAAATGAGAATTTTTACTTTACGAGACAAATAGCTCCAGTTCCATCTTCACTTAAACGTTTAGACAAATTAAACAATTGCTAGAGAACAACTAAATTCTCGAGCGACCTAGTTTGACGAGTGGGGTTCGATCATAATATTGACACTGATTTTGTGTCAGCTTTAGCCATAAAAGAAATGTATTACTATTATAATCAATGTTAGAAAAGTTCAAATCGAGAGAACTTGAAAATAATGGTTTTAGGTTAAAGCTACATTTCTATTTGTTTTCATCAAGCCTAAGTTATAACCTGTATTTTCACTTTCGTAAGACCAACTTGATTTGCTGTACAGGAAGTCAGTGGTTGATAACCTGACAGCCCCACAACTAACTCTTCTAAATAACATTGTTATCGCTTGCGATAGTGTGGGTGCCTTGCTAGTCCAAAATATTGTGTCTCTATCCAGTACACTGTTGCAGTTACACTCTTGATAAAAACCTAAAGCGTGAGTTACACAGCTTTTCATTTAACTTTAAAGGTAACAGTGTCAAGTCATTTTAAGATAAGCCAGATAAGAAAATAAAAACTTTTTAAATTATTTATCGACGTAATTAAGTGTACCTAGCCCTAAATCTTCTATTTGTAAATTCAAACAAAAAAACAACAAGAAATGGATTTTAACTGCAGATCATTTATTTACATTTCATGTTGGTCTAGAGCAAAGGTTCCCAAAGTAGATACTGGAATAAACCAAGGAGGGTGGACTATAAGAGCATCGAGAGAATTTAGGGGTTGTGGGATAAAAAAGGCATACAGATAAATACTCAATGGTCGACCTCCCAAGCCAAAGTAAGAGTAGGCCATACAAGGTTCTGTCAACACTACATTTTTTGTTTATATATTATTATATTTAAGAAAAGTATCGATTACAATATATTGTCGATTACAAAAAAACAAAACAAAAAAATCCGTCTTGCTATTTTATGAACATCTATACTTCGTGGATATAAAATTCACCGAACTATTTACAGTACGGTAGACGAAAGAAGAGCGAAACACGAGTATCGAATGCATAATTGTATACAGTATACTGATTGCTAATCAAATATGAAACAAATGTATGAATAATATTGTTTGATAACAAATTTAACATGCATACAAATATAAGCCTACTAATTCCTGTAGATCTTTTAAAGACCCATATTTTTTTATGATCTCAGTAGTCCGAAAACTTTGGGAACCTCTAGACCTCAAGTAAGGCAACATAAAAATGTATAGGTAAGAATATTAAATGATAACTTAATCTAACAGGGAAAAATCATCACCAATGTGTAAGTACAGACAATAAACATTTAAATACACACAAACTGTTTCAAGAAAATAGAAAAAAATAGTATGTTTTTGAGTTTGTTTTTTTTACACGCTTAACCGTAAACAATAAAAAAAACTTTATATTCTGACGAAACTAGAAGATAGTTGATTCCCTAACCAACGACAACAGTAGCCGTGTATTTCTGACAGGCGTTGAAGGTGGTGAAGTACGCATCCTGACACAGCTGGTGCTGTAGCTGGAAGCAGTCGCAGATGGAGTGGTACCTGGTGCGGTCAGCCTCGCACATGTCAATCAACGACTGGATATTCCCGTTGACAAACACGTCCAGGGGGATAACTGCGCCATCGAAACCGTCGACGTCGATGGGACAGCTGCTGCTGGAGTTACCGCCGATGTCTTGGAATCTCTGGGTGGCGAACTCCGCGGAGAACTTGAGGAACTCCCAGGCGTCCGTCCACTCGTCCAGCGTGACGCAGCTGTCGTTGTTGAAGTCGTAGCGTTTCGTCAGGTCGGCTTTGATCTCCGCGCCGGTGACGTTGCCATCCTTGTCTGCGTCGTTTTCGTCGATGAGTGTCTGGAGACGGTTGGCTATTGGTCCGCTGTGGGTGAACGGGCACGGGTTCTGGCTAAGTGTCACCGCGATGATGACACAGTGAACCATCAAACAGAGAAACATTTTGATAGACATCTGCAAAATATATTTTTTAAAATTAAGAAATAACATTTTAAACTTAATGCTGTCTAGTATAGCAAAAATTGCATTCAAGCAAAATAACTTATTGAATATGAGCCCATCTTCTTATTCGTTCTTAATTTTAGTGATAGAAGGAATCACTCCAAGTATACGTGTCAACTGATTATTCGCCATTGAGGCCATTGACACCGATTTCAGCCTGCTTTTCTTTTTGGATTTGCTTCTATAGCAACAAACTACAAGGCAGCAGTTGTTTGATTTTGGAGTTGTCTCTCCTAGAAGAGTGGCTGTCCCTAGCTAACGAGCCTCATCTGCCCGAAGGTTCGAACTCGAGACTTCTCGGTCTTGCAACCATTAGCTTTACCGACTCGACCACGCTGAATTGCCCTTCGATCCGGGTCTCAGTATGCATGGATTGTGTGTCAGTTGAAATTCCTGTGATACTATTGAAGTTACGATATATCAAACAAACAAAAAATGATTCATAATATTTCTAAGAAATATTCAATGTTTTTCTTCGGCAGGTCGAAAGCTCAGAAAAGCATCGCATCAACTCGAGTTAAAGACGGTTTATATATATATATATATATATATATATATATATATATATATATATATATATATATATATATATATATATATATATATATACAACATGTATAAATGTCTATCTTTCTCTCTCTCTCTATATATATATATATATATAAATATATATATATATATATATATATATATATATATATATATATATATATATATATATATATATATATATATATATATATATATATATATATATAATTACTTATTATTATTATTTATACGGTATAAACAAAAGCGCAACTTACCTTAGTAACTTTGTAAAGAATTGATTAGATCTTTCAATAGAAAGGTTAGTCTCGTCACTTTATATCTTAAAATGTCGATACAAGGCCTTACTTTGCCAAATGTAAAGGTATGCACTGAAGGTAAAGGTCACGAACTAAATCTAAATGATATTTTTGTACTGACTAATTATAAATTTTATGCGTGTTCCTATTTAGCTACGCCAAACATTTAAACCAAATAAATAGGTTTTGACCTACGTGTCAAAATAGAAAGAAATTGGTCCGGTTAGTGTGGTCGAAGTTTACAATTTAAATTAACATTTTTTATTGTGCTTTGTATGGGGGATGTCACGTAGACATTGTTTTGAGGACTATGTAAATTTATTTTTAAATTAACAACGTTTGTAAGCAACCATAGTTAGTTTGTATATATGCTATAAATGTGCTGTACACCATAAAGGTTATAAAGGCATTTTGTTACAGGTTTATCGCACACCATGAGGCATATTTAATTATCTGCGCAGTCGATTATTAGAACCCTATAATTAAACACATTATAATGGATTCTTAGGTCTCAAAGGGAAGCCTTACTTATTTTATTTTAAATTAAAATTAAAGATTATTTAATTAATATTCACAGATTAGTTGATTTATCAGTTTTAAAAAAAGCAATCAGCGTGAAGGGGGTGGTTGGTGTATAGGGGATGGGATGGGGCGGGCCAGGCTACCAAAGCAGTGTCACGTGTTATTTACATTGTGGTGTTGCTATTTATGGTGTATGGGGTTGAATGCTGTCGTTTTCCAGACGTCAACTATAAATTAAGTCTAGTATCTGTCCACCCGAATGTACCTTGTCGTGTTTTGCTCTACTGTTCCAAATAGTCTGTCTATAGATAGCTACTGTCCTTGTTTTTTGCTCTTGGTCCATCCTGTCTCTTTGTTTAGTGCTAGCAGGGGTCTCCAAACTACGGCCTGCGGGCCGTATGCGGCCCGCGATGTCCTCTCATCCGGCCCGCGGAGATCTTTTTGTCCACTGAAAACAATGTTTGTTGGAGGTGGCTGAAGAACTTTGCCCATAACATTCAAAATTCAATTTGAAAATGTAGCTTAGGGTGCAAATACCATTGCAGACATTGGTGAAAACACTGTGACTCAAATAGCGAAAAATGCAAGCAAGTTTGGCCATTTTTCAATTGCAATGGATGAGTCGCTGGACAGCTGTTCCACCTCTCAACTGCTTGTGTTCATTAGAATTGTGGATGAAGACATAAACATAACACAAGAACTGACTTCCCTACATAACATGTATGGCACTGTTACCGGGGAGGATATTATATCCAATGAGGTAAAAATAAACATTTGCTGATTAAAACTTGGATTGGACTAACCTCAGTTACCTGACTGTTGATGGAGGAAAGTACATGAGTGGCGTAAAGAAAGGCTTGGTTGGACAAGCAAATGAGATAAACATTATACAACCAATATCCCTGCACTGCATTATTCACCAGCAAGCTTTGTGTGCTAAATGTATGGACATCACCAATGTACTGAATCCTAGGGTGAAGATGGTGAATTTAATAAGGCCACATGGGCTCAAACATAGATAGTCCAGAGACATGTTGAAAGATGCAAATACAGAATCGCAAGATTTACCATATTACACAGCAGTAAGATGGCTAAGTTTTGAGAAAATTTTGAGCAGAGTATTTACGTTAAGAAAGGAAATAAGTGACTTACTGGATAGTAAAGGCAAGCTATAGTCATTAAAGACTGATAAAGAGTGGGTATGGATATATACCTTTGATGCAGACAAAACTACTCACTTAAAATTTCTGGACCTAAAACTACAAAGGGAGTAAAATCTATTTTCTGATCTATACACTCATTTAAAGGCCTTCATATCCAAACTTGTCTTGATTTTGGAACGGGTACTGGCCAACAACTTGACGCACTTTCCGCAGTAAAAGGTCTTCATGGCTGAAGAAACAGCTGAGTTCCTGAGGCCATTTATATGCTCGATCAACAAGACCTCCAGCTGCAGTTTCAGCAGCAATTTTCTTACTTAGATTCAGATGCAGAAGAAGTGAGACTGTTTCAAAACCCATTTGAAGCAAATATGGCTAGTTGCCCAGATAAACTCCAGCTGGAGGTCATTGAATTGCAAGAAAATGACCTCCTTAGAGACACGTTCAAAGAATGTCGGGTGGGTTTTTATAAGTTTTTGCACAAGGAAGACTTTCCTAATATTAAAACTTTTGCATCAAAGAACCTTTCAAATTAAGGAACAACAAATCAGTGGTTACAAAATCATTTTCAAGAATGAATGATATGAAGAACAATTTAAGAACAAACTTGGACCTCAAGTCGGTCCCCGACAGTGTTTCTTTCAGCCTTTTTTCGGGAGGGGGGGGGGCTTATTTTTTCATAAATTATATTTCGTTGGGGGTTGGGGGGGGGGTCGTTCTTGAAGGGGGGGGGGGTGGAGGGAGGGGGGAGCTTCTCCACCCAAAAGAAATGCCTGTAAGAAACTCTGGCCCCCGAACTGATATTTGATAGTTAATGCGGCCCTCGGGCTGAAAAGTTTGGAGACCCCTGTGCTATAGCAATGTCCATATTAACAGTGTTTTGCTTTGTTTTCTCTTTTTACTTTCTTTTTTGCCTCAGACATGTAATTCAAAGCGTCAGTTTGCCTTGCATATTATTTGTTCGCTTCAGCAAAACAGTTTTCATAATTAAAGAAAAGAATACCATTTTTTTTTTTTTTAGAAATACAATAAGCTCTAATAGAATCTGTTATTTGGCCAATGTATGCTTTTCAAAAATTTACCTATTTATAAGATTGAGTAATTAAAAAATCTAAAGTTTCTTTTTTTGGTTATGTTAAAGAAATAATTTAATACTAATTCTATTACAAAAACGTATATAAAAATATTTATCATTTAATATTTTATGAAACAGTTAGCAATATTGGTATATCTTCATTTCATAATTACAAACTTTCATGTTACGCGAACCAGATTTTTAGGTACGGGTTATATCCCCTTGTTGTTTTACTTTACTTAAACATGATTTAAATTAGCTAACATAATTGATTTTTAATATTTAATCTAAAGCTATTGTTAAAGCTACTTAGTCAATTATATATATATATATATATATATATATATATATATATATATATATATATATATATATATATATATATATATATATATATAAAGCAAAGTGGTCGGGTGCCCGATAGGGCACTTCCCGGCGCCGCAGGCGCGTCAAATTTGGCACGAAGGTGCCTTATGGCAATAGAACACGAGGGCCGGTGACGGTTCGGCAAAAAGTCTACGGAGAGTGGGTCAAAACTGACCTCGACTGACCGGCGCCTTATATGGGCTATATTACGAAAACAAAATTCTTCCGACGACCCCCCTTGAAATTTTGTGAGGTGGTAGGAGAACACCTTGGGGTGTCACAAAAAACTCGCCATGTCCGGGAAAAATCGGGAAATGGGTCAAAACTGACCAGTTGTATTTCCCAATATAATCTTTGTATTTTATGGGAAAAACAGAGGGTCATTTCAAAGCAGACTTTAGGGTACTTAAACTCAGTATATCTGGCTAATTTTTTGCATGCTCCTAGGTCAATGGCTTGACCTTTAGGGAAAACTGTCGGTCACACTCAAAGCCCTCGACGAGGGCTAAAAAGTGACCGCGAGTGAAATTCTCTTTATATGAGCTCTATTACGAAAAAAAATTTCCTCCGACGACCCCCCTTGATATTTTGTGAGGTGGTAGAAGAACACCTAGGGGTGTCACAAAAAACTCGGCATATCTGGGAAAACTTTGTAAAGCGGTCAAAACTGACCAGTTGTATTTCCCTATATAATCTTTGTATTTTATGGGAAAAACAGAGGGTCATTTCAACGCAGACTTTAGGGTACTTAAGCTCAGTATATCTGGCTAATTTTTTGCATACACTACTATAGATGACTAGGCCGTATGGAAAAACTGTTGGTCAGACTCAAAGCCCTCGACGAGGGCTAAAAGATGATCTTGAGTGAAATTCTCCTTATATGATATATATATACATATATATATATATATATATATATATAATACTGATATTCCCTAGCACTAGTCCACACCTCCCTAAGCACTAGTACATAATTTACCTAGCACTAGTCCATACCTCCCCTAGCTCTAGCCCACACTTCCCCTAGCACTAGTCCACACCTCCCCTAGCACTAGTCCACACCTCCCCTAGCACTAGTCTACACCTCCCCTAGCACTAGCCCACACTTCCCCTAGCACTAGTCCACACCTCCCCTAGCACTAGTCCACACCTCCCCTAGCACTAGTCCACACCTCCCATAGCACTAGTCCACACCTCCCCTAGCACTAGCCCACACCTCCCCTAGCACTAGTCCACACCTCCCCTAGCACTAATCCACACCTCTCTAGCACTAGTTTCGAAAGCACTGTTTGCTATTGAGCTTGATAACAACTATTTAGAACTACTGCTTATGGCATGGGTGATATTGTTATGTAACGTTCAGCATTTCTCATCAGGCTCATAAGACAAATATTGATTTTTAAAAGCTGTAATTAATAACTTAAATAACTAACAGTTTTGCTGTTTAGCTTTTATACTGAAAATGCCTCATCTAAATTTATGCCCAATTGACAATATTAGATAAGATAGAATAACGTGTTTAAACTTAAAAGCTGCTACGATTTTCCTGATTAGTTCCATAAACATCTGTCTATAATTCCACCAATCCCTCTATTGACGTCTTTAAAAAATCCTAGGTCGAGGATGTTTTTCTGTAAACCGAAATCAGGAAAAGTGCGTTTAGATTTTTAAATTATTTTTTTTTTTAAAGTTGGAGTAGATAAATCTATTTTTAAACTGGCAGCTGATTGGTCGACGCATGTACCACTTCGTGATCAGAGGTCAACCAGTAGGTCAATAGTAAAAAATAGAGAGTAAAAAATAAAGTTCTTTGATAACAATTTTCCAATACAATCTCGGACTGTACAGTAAAGCAATACAGAAAAATGCCAGATATTTTTAATTAATGCCGTCCAGTTCCTCATCACGTGGTATGCCGACTGCTTGTTCCGAGGTCACTAAAACATGAATTCTACTTCACCTTCATGTGAACAGTCAGGTGAACTCTGCTTCAACTGTCATCTTGGCATTCAGGTTAACTTTGATTCACCTGCTACGTGAGATAGTCACGTCGGAGGAGCTAACCGTTAAATTTAATCCATGTCAGTCCAACTCGTGTCAGACATAGTGGCATAGTATTTGACTTGTCAAACTCATGTGTCAGACATAGTGACATAATATTTGACTTGTCAAACTCATGTGTCAGACATAGTGACATAGTATTTGACTTGTCAAACTCATATGTCAGACAAAGTGACATAGTATTTAACTTGTCAAACTCATATGTCAGACATCACATAGTGGTACATTATTTAATTTAACCATATCTACAATGTAGGTCGAAGATTGGAACAAAAACTAAAGTTTACCAATCGTCATCATTTTTTCTTATCACCATGTCTTCCTGGGTCGACCCCTAAGATCCTTACCCCGGGGGTTCCACTCCAGGGCTTGCCCGATCCTGGAGCGCGTGGGAGGGGGCGGAAGGAGGGCTAGAGAGTCGGCGTGGTGTACCGCATGGCTGGGTGACGTAGAGAATTATATATACGAGCTGACCCGCGCCGTAAGCATACGCCGCTATTTAGTTGTTTTATTTTCTACTTTTCATTAATTCATAATTTGTGAATTCTACACTACTCTCCCTCCCCCCTCCCCCGCCCACGTGAAAGCAGCCGTCCGTGACGACTGTGTACTTACGATAATGAAAAGATCAAGTAGAACTTGTTACCTCCCCTTAGTTTCAAATTGTTTAAAAGCTAATTATATATATATATATATATATATATATATATATATATATATATATATATATATATATATATATATAATTATGTTTAACCTAATTAGTTTGTTTTCTGAGATACATTGATACCTGCTAAAGAAATGGAGGATCAACTTCGCAATGGACTTGCAGTACCATCATTAGACGAGCACTCAAAACAGATCAACTACATCAGCTGCCTTATTCAAGTCTTGAAATTTTATTTTACCTTTGCATGTTTCTTAAAGCAGGTTAGTCAATGTTAACCATAAGCAGATCAGTCAAAACAAAGTCTAGCGGAATTGATCACTGGCCATAATAGGGACCAACATCATTTATCCATACCTACAGCTCTACAACTATTGGCAGACTTTCGAAAAGTATGTCTTCTTCTTTCGTGTATGGGCCCCCGTTTGTCTGAGGCATGTCTTAGCAATGGCGTAGGCAGGGGGGGGGGGGGGGTTAGGGGGGTCATACCCCCCCATAGACCCTCGGTATATATATATAAAGTGTGAAGGGGGGTGCAAATCGAAATTTCGAGGGGGGGGGGTGCAAATCGAAAGTTTTAGGGGGGCGGGGGGTGCCAATTGAAAGTTTGTCCCCGGGTAAAAATTGGAAACCCCCCCTCCCCATCTTGAGACGATCCTGGCTACGCCACTGTGTCTTAGCGTCATCTAATTAATCCATCGGTAAGTGTCAATAAAGGGAAATAAACATATAAAAAGACGCGGACCATTATTTATTTAAAGGTTACGTCCCCTGAAAATGCAACAAGTCTACAGTTCGTTTTCTTGATTTAGGATACTTTAATTAAAAGTTGTTAACTTGTGTGTCATTCGGTTCTCGACGAAAGTAAAAAAAAACGGATACGTTATTTAAAATCTATAGTTTGTTTAAAATTGTATAAAAAAATATAGCTTACATTTTTAATAGAAAAATTCGATTTAAAAATTTTAAAAATATTTCTCACATCTAGGCTTACTTTTAGTCATAAAACAGTGTCCGTGGTTGCTTCCTAGTGGCATCACATGGCGACTGTGGAAGGAGGGGGGGGGGGGTTGTGGTGCGCATTGGGGTAACCTCATTTAGGAGTGACACCACGAGGGGAAGTCAATACCAATGTTTCAACCGGTTAAATTAATAAAATAGTAGGGGACAGGGTTGACACCAAACCGTGAACTGTCGCGGGGGGGGGGGGGGGGGGTGACACCCGGCCTAGTGACGCCACTATTTGTACCCAACGACTTCATGTTGCTGGTACTGTGGACAAGGGTTGAAGCAGACCTACACAAAGTATATGGGTCTCTGCTACATCGTCAGCTGTGTGCTGTTGGCCGTCACACATCGTACCTGATGGTAGATTCAACAAACATGCACATATATATATATATATATATATATATATATATATATATATATATATATATATATATATATATATATATATATATATATATATATATATATATATATATGTGTGTGTGTGTGTGTGTGTGTGTGAATATATACCTTATTGTATATATAGAGAGTGGGACTGTCTTTGTGTATTAGGTATTTACACATAAAAATATGTATAAACGTTAACGTGTAAAAATAAAAAAATAGATACAAATTAAAACCTATAAAATGTAGGCCTATATTTAATTTCATCAAATAAAATTTTCACAAATGACTTTTATTGGTTACTGATGTAATTCTCATAACTATAATGTGCCGTGACATTATTTTCATAATTATATCTTTGTGCTAGACACCTTTCTGTAAAACAACTATTTAATATCAAATAAGATGATTCATTGTCACAATCGCTAGGGACTATCTAGTTAGCAAGTCAAAACATTATCCTTCATGTACTGTCTCCTAGAGCACTAGGGAACTATAAACTCTACAAAACTTTTATCTCTCAGTTTTAAGCACTTATTTAGTGTACTTTTCGATAAAGTACTTTTAACTTGTCTTCATCTACTTTTAATGTTAACCCAACTATCAAAATACAAAGTGACTTACAATTTCTTTTATAATGTAGCTACTGCAATAAAAAGTAAATTTTCGGTTTTTCTGTCGCTTTGAATGACAAAGTAACCGAGGCATCAATGTAGTGAGGTTATGCCACTTTGTGTGAACACAACAGTGATGTGATACAACACATTCAATATACAACACCAAAAACGGAGCAGTTTTGTTTATTTTATTTTTATAAGTATGAATTGTGGAGACGTAAATAACAATCAACTTTTAAATGTTATAATTAGTAAAAGTGCATCGCATGTGTAAAATTATAACTGTTGTTTTTCTATACAGTTCCACATTTTATTACAATACAAAAATCACATTACTATGCTGGCCAAGAATTTGGTGTAATATGCGATTTCAGGTCGTAATTGTTTTTCTACTACAATTTGCGAGTGAAAGATTCACCCAACGACGATGTCATTCATGGTAGAGGTGGAATCGGTCGTCATGCTTTCATTCATGCTTGTGCTCATGCTTGTTTCCGTGGTCATGCTGCCACCCATGCTGCCTCCACTCATATGCCCCATCATGCCCATCATGCCCATCATGGTATCCATTGAGCCTCCACTCATGGTGCCACTTGATGTATCATTGGTCGTACTTCCGCTCATGCCTCCCATATGCCCCATCATGCCCATCATGGTGCCACTTGATGTATTGTTGGTCGTACTTCCACCCATGCCTCCCATATGCCCCATCATGCCCATCATGCCCATCATGCCTCCAGACGTGCTTCCATTAGTGCTGCCCATGTGCATCATCATACCGTTTACAGCAACAAAGGCTACTTGCACGATAAGCATGATCATCATCTTCAGCAACATCTGTAAACAGAGATACCAAATTGCATTTGATGATATTTTATAACGAACTTAATATATGATACACGTAACATAAAATAAAATGTAAAATATCTCATATTTTACTACAACATTATTAAAATGTATTGTAGGCATATACACTAGATCTGATTTGCCAATTTCACTCGAAATGTTAATTAAAGACATGAAAAAAGTAAATCACCACTTCAGTGCTAAAAATGTATTATTTATTACTCTCTGAAAATAACATCCTATTTTACAGGAACTACCCATAGTTCAAATACATTTTAAAATCTTTTAAAGAACACACTTTAATACTGTCAGATGCTGATTACACAATCAGTGAGGAGCTTAAAACTTTTTGTAATTCTGCTCACCGTGGTAGGACAGAGCTGATAATTCCGCTTCTTACTGTTCATGAAGTATATGTTAGCCTAAGATCTCTTAAACCGTCTTCAACAACTTCGTTTGATGATATCTCTAATAATATATTGAAGATTTCAGCTCCAATAATTTCCGAAGTTTTAACCTATGTCTATAACCTCTGTATTGCCAAGCATTATTACCCGACACATTTTAAGCATGCTAAGGTTATACCACTACACAAAAAAAGGTAACATCCAAGATGCTAATAACTACAGGCCAATTTCTATACTTTCTTCCCTCTCCAAGCCACTAGAAATACATATAAACAAATGCATGTCAAACTACCTAGAAAAGCTCAAGCTTTTCCATAGTAATCAGTCTGGGTTTAGAAAGTTTCATTCGTGTCACACTGCTCTGATTAAGATGAATGAAAACTGGCTTAAAAATATTAACAATAACCTACTCTGTGACTCGCTGTTCGTCGATTTCAGAAAAGCCTTTGATTCTATTGATCACACCATACTTCTTAAAAAACTAATTCCATACAAATTCCACGACTTTACAGTTAGGTTACTTCACTCCTTTTTATCTAACCGATCTCAACGCGTGTTTCACCTCAATACCATCTCTTCACAGAAATATGTTAATATAGGGGTTCCACAGGGCTCAATCTTAGGTCCTTTACTTTTTTCTTTATACATTAATGATCTTCCATTACACATTGACGCTGATCATTGCGAGATGTTCGCTGATGATACTTCGTTACATGACTTTGCAGACAGTGCTGAGTCACTCAGTTACAAACTTCAAACGTGTGCCAATCAGCTTGCTACTTGGACAAAATTTAACAAAAGGATACTTCATCCCGATAAAACCAAGTCAATGTTTATTACAACTCATCAGAAACGCCTTCGTCTTCCATCCACCGCATTAAACATTACTATAGACAATTCAAACATTGAACAGGTAGATAGTTACAAATGCCTAGGATTGGTTATAGATCACAACCTCACTTGGTCCGATCATATTCATTTTCTAAGAATGTCCTTATTAAAGACAACCTTTCAATTAGCAAGGATAAAGAACTTTCTCGACTATAGGAGCAGGCTAGTTTTTTATGAAGCTTTTATTCAGTCTAGGTTGGATTATGCTTCTGTAGTGTGGAGCGGCAGCTTTATTACTAAGCAGCGTCCTCTCCTATCTTTACAAAAAAGGGCTATAAAACTGGTTACTGGCTTGTCTAGTAGTCTGGATTCTTTTCTTACAACTAAAATACTTCCATTAAATAAAAAGATAATATATACTAAATCAATTTTCTTATATAAAATATTCCACGAAACAGCCCCCTCTTACTTATCAGATCTATTTTCTTTTAACATAAAATTAAATCGTCGTCTTAATTTACCATTCCCATATTCAACTTTTTTCCAAAAACATAGCTTCGCCTGCTCTGGTTCTAATTTGTGGAACAATCTTCCTAATAAAATAAAGCTATCTAGATGTGAAAATATTTTCAAATCTAAACTAAAACTAAAATTATTTAATGACCTAACTGACTCATTGTAACATTTCTCATTCATCTATTATATTCTCTTTTTTTTTCTCATTATGTATGATAACTATGTAACATTGTTTCTTTATTCCACATTTTTAGTGCTATGTTACTGCTATGTGTTATTGAATTGTTTTATTTGTTTAAACGGCCAATGTGAAAAAAGGCCTTTGTGCCTACAATTGTAACCGTTTTTTTTAAATAAATTTGAATTTGAATGATAAAAAGACTGTTATTTATAGCCTTTAATCAACGTTAGTTAATTATGCTGTATATTGTGTCATATCAGCATTTCCATGAACATGTTTGTAAGATAAGTTTGCGTGGCAAAAAAAAATGACAATATTTAGCTTCTATTTATAACCATTATTAACTTAACATTATCCCTAGTGAAGTCTGATCAAACTAGAAAAAAAAAACACCAACCTTTGATCGCTTGATGATTGTCGACCGCTACCACTTGCCCACCAAACGTTCGAATTCTCCTAACGTAGATCTTTCTTAAATTTATAGCTTCACCTTGGGACAAATATTTTGAAGTTCCTTTCAGCTGCACTGTCCAAATTATAAGACAATTTTCACTTTTTTAAAATTCAAAATTGAAATTATTTTCCAAGGACATACAGTCATTATTGTTGTAGGTGTTAAAATCTAGAACAAAGTATTTAAAAACGATGTATGGTCGTGTTATCTGTTTGATAGGACTTTAAAATTTGGAACAGCTGATTTAAAACGTTAAAACATGCAGGTGTAAGCACATTAAAACTTAGTGGGGATGAGATTTAAACAGATGGGACGACATTAGACGTAGCTTATAGTGTAGTGTAGGTTTTCAAGGTTTTGGCCAATTATTTCTGTAGATATTGGATCCTGGATTCTAGGACTTCTGTCTACGTCGTGGGGAGTAATATCATCATCATGTTAGGGGGGGGGGGGAGATTATCACTGCATACAATGCATTTCTAGACACCATTTTGTTTTATAACAGTACATAAATCTACGTATCTGACTATTAGATGTTGCTGCTACGTTTACTTGTTCTTGGTATTGATTGCATCGATTCTATTAAATTAGATATTCCTTTTAGATGGGAATATTGGAATATAAAAAAAAATTGACAAAGTAAATTTTAAAAGAATAAGAATAAAACTGTGTATTCTGCATGTACCAAGCGTATAAATATTTTATAGCTGCCATCTTTAATATTGCTTGGCTGTACGATACGATTCACAGATCACACTAGTAAGTTTCAGTTCATTTGTTATTTTATTATCCGACAAAGAATAAAGCACTTGTCTCATATTATACTATATAAAAGCACTTTGTGTTAGGGAACTTATATGTAAAACTCAAATACAACTTTATTTTCATTCGAATTTAGTAAGAGGTCTAGGTTGAAGGCTAGATGTTTGTAACACACTGGCGTTGAAGATGTGTTTCGAGACTAAGATTTAGACTCTCCATAAAATTGTATAGTTATTTTTTTATACCATTAGCATACTATTAGTGATCAGAACAATTAGTATTAGACCTAAGTATGACAAAAGTCCTATAAGTGTTATCTAAAGCTCACCTGTCCTTTAACACGGATTTGGACAGCTCCGCCAGTTGTTACACTAGTGTCACATTTTCTGGTCACATTTTCAAATGGTGTGTTTAAAGATGTAGACTTGATACCAAAGTTAGAACTCACACTAATGTTCATACATACAAAACACCTATTTCTATACATTCATGCACTATATACAGTATTACTGATATACATTTTAAAATAATATAAATAAGTTGATATATATATATATATATATATATATATATATATATATATATATATATATATATATATATATATATATATATATATATATATATATATATATATATATACATATATATATATACATATATATATGTATATATATATATATATATATGTATATATATATATATATTTATAATTATATATATATATATATATATATATATATATATATATATATGCGTATATGTATTTCTAACCTTTAACCTGTGTACGGGTTATTTAGAGGTTACGTTAGACTAGTCTAGATTCTAGAACATGGGAGAAAGTGCGATTGTGAGCTGAGTTAACCCCGGATTGTTTATTGTTTATGTACTTTTATCCCAAGGTCGAATTCGGGCATATAAGCGGTGTAAACTATTGGTGGGGAGGATTTTGATAACAGCAACAAGTTGAGACTCGCTACTCATTTGATTCACTACACGAGACAACGCTCTGTTCAGAACTTATTTGTTCCCTCTTGGCATATTACCTTCCCGCTAGATGCAAGAATCAGAGGTGGGTGAACTATTAAAGTTAGCAATCGAGTGCTCTGTCCCTCGGCCACATCACCCCATGCCATGGCAGATAAGGTTATTTAAATTGAACACATTCTTAAAGATAATCGTTTTAACATTGCCAAGATAGTTTGCAGCAAAGAAATCATGCAATAACAATCGCTTAAGATAGACCTTGTGGGACGGAATGGTCGAATTGTAGGGCTATTGGCTGCTAGCCCGAAGGTTTAGAATTCTGATATCTGTTAGGACTTGTGACTGTAGGAGTACCCAGCCCTTATGCATACCTTACTAACGTTGGGGAGATTAAGATTGGCTGAGTATAGTGCTGACTACACCATTCCTACATTTGTTGAGATCAATATATGAACTCCACTTCAACTGCCAATGGATCGCTAACTTAAAAAAAAATGAATCTTTAAGATAGACCTTAAAGTGGAATATAAATTCAGCAAATAAAATTTCAGTGTAACGTGTAATTTCTTTTTTTTTTGTCCCAATACCTTATGGGCCTACATAATTTAGTAAACGCGTTAAAAAAAATTTCTACTCCGGTTTTAATTCTAATTCAGTTAGAGTAGAGATTGTGTGTGTGAGAGGGAATGAGAGGGGATTATTCGAGTTTATATAACAAACAAAAACAAGAAACCTTTTTTTCTCCATAAATATTTTTTTAATTTGTGCAAGAATTATTTTTATCTTTGCAACGATAGCGAACTTAATAAAAACATTTTTTTCTTTGAACTTTTCATTAACTTAAACATATTTATACCTAACTTTCAAGGATAAAAATATAAATATTGCTAATAAAATAGTGTTTCTTCCAGACTTTTTTCTCCGGGGGGGGGGGGGCACTTGAAATTTTCGGGGGGCGGTAAACTTTCTTCGGGGGGCGGAAACTATTAAAAGTATATATTTTCTATATAAATTATATAAATTTCATTCCGTTCGGGGGGCGGTAAAAAAATTTCGGGGGGGGGGGGGGCGAACCCCGAAGAGATGCCTGGAAGAAACTCTGGTGTTCTGTAATAGCTTAGTTGTTACATCCTTACAAAAACAGGGTTGTCTGTCACATGGATAAAATTTAAAAGAGAACGGAAGAGACTGGGGTCAAAGTTCACGCGGTCAACAACTGATTTTTGATAAGGCACCACTTGCATTTAACCTTGACATTCATGGTGTCGAATTGTTAAACATTTAACACCGTTTTTGGATAGGTCATTAACAGCTTTACAATCACGAATCGCTTATTCAAAGTGTCTGGAAGTTTAAAATGTGTTGTTTTGTTTTTCATAAATCTCGACAAACAGGCAGGTATCTACACGTTTTAGAAATCAGGGAAGCAAAACTAGAACATAGGGGGTCATCCATAAATGACGTCACGCTTTTTTGACGGTTTTTACCTCCCCCCTCCCCTCAGTCAGTCCTCGTCACAAAAAGCCAGACCCCCACCCCTAAAATGACGTCACACCTCAGCCTACAACCCCCCTCAAAATTGCAATTGAATTTTTCTGCCGATATGGAGTATTTTAATCAATTCCTATTACAATTTATTCAGTTTTCTAAAACGCGAAATAACGTCTAAAATTATCTTTCTAACATGGATTTTTTTATAATGCAAAAGTGTGACGTCGCACCATCTGAACCCCCCTCCCCCTCATCACACAACGTCACAAATTTACGGACCCCCTCCCCCTACGAGTGTGACGTCATTTATGGACGACCCCATAGTACTCAGCTAGAACATTATATTGAGATAGAACAGCTGTTGGAGCTAAAACACCAGTTTAAGTTAATAGAGTTTAATGACCTAAACCATCAGAAAGAACTAGAATAGTTTAATGACCTAAACCATCAGATAGATCTAGAATAGTTTAATGACCTAAACCATCAGATAGATCTAGAATAGTTTAATGACCTAAAACATCAGAAAGAAATAAAATAGTTTAATGACCTAAAATATCAGATAGGACTAGAAAAGTAGACCTAAAACAGACAGACCTACATTTTGGGTCTAAGACAAAGGTTTTAGATCTAAAGTAGATATCTTCGGTCACATGACTTTCTTATTTACTGTTTTTGTTATCTGGTGTTTTTACCTTAGTGGCGACACACTCCTTTGTGCAACCACTTCCTATATTATAATAAAATATGAAAATGCTTGGCTTACAACTTTAATGTATCAAACAGCACACTATCGGTAAATCAATGTTAAAAAAACATTATTTTAAGCTTGTAAAAACGTGTAATATACTGTAATTTTTATTGTATACACATCGAGTCAAACGATCGCTACAAAAGTTAAAATACTTTCAACGTAAGTAAATATTGATATTTGCACTCCTGTATTTATCTCTTACTTCTAGTCCAAACTTTACCCCCGCCAACCCCTACCCTACTGTGCACTAAAACAATCTTAAATGTCTAATCACGGCCGTTTAGGTGGTGGCGATGTTTTCTTTGCTAGCTGAGCTTCAAAAGCTTTCCTGGTTTCCTCGACTTTGGCGTCCTCTAACTGGCATCGACTTCTGGCAATCTGGGGAATAAAATAAGTGGACATGACGGGGAATGTACTGCTACAGCAGTTTAAAATATTAACTACTACATACATGTATGATTAAGACTAGTGAACAGTAGAAAGAGAGTTGTAAAATAATGCAAGTCAACATCTTGAAACTAAAAATTCACATAGTTGATATAGACTAGCAACCATTCCAATTCATAGTTGTCTTAACTCTTGGTGTAACTGATGTTTGGATAGGGTGTGGGGAAAATGCTCCACTATATTAAAGAGAGTCTGTTAAATAAATCTAATCCTGTACAACCCAAAAATCCTATACACCTGTACAACCCGACAACCCTATACACTGGTGCAATCGAACAACCTTACACTAAACACATGTACAACCCTATACACCTGTACAACACAAAACTATACACATTCGTATGTCCTAACAACCCTATAAGCATAAACAACGAGACAACCCTATACATCTCTAAAACCCCAACAGCACTATAGCTTGTATATTCCAACAGCCATATAGCCTGTACAACCCAACAACCCTACACGTCTGTACAATCCAACACACTATACACCTGTACACCTTACAACCTTATACAACTCTACAACCCAACAACTCTTTATAACTGTGCAACCTAACAATCCAACTAATCTGTACAATCCAACAACCCTACACAAATGTACAACCCAACAACCCTATATACCTTTACAACCCAACAACCCTACCCACCTGTACAACCCAACAATCCTCTACACCTGTACAACCCAACAATCCTCTACACCTGTTCAACCCAACAACCCTCTACACCTGTTCAACCCAACAACCCTCTACACCTGTACAACCCAACAACCCTCTACATCTGTACAACCCAACAACCCTACACACCTGTACAACCCAACAACCCTACACACCTGTACAACCCAACAACCCTCTACACCTGTACAACCCAACAATCCTCTACATCTGTACAACCCAACAACCCTCTACACCTGTTCAACCCAACAACCCTCTACACCTGTACAACCTAGCAACCCTCTACACCTGTACAACCCAACAACCCTCTACACTTGTACAACCCAACAACCCTCTACATCTGTACAACCCAACAACCCTAGACACCTTTACAACCCAACAACCCTCTACACCTGTACAACCCAACAACCCTACACACCTGTACAACCCAACAACCCTCCACACCTGTACAACCCAACACAACTAAACACCTACCGCGATGAGACTGTCCACCTTAGCCCCTCTCTGTGGGTTGACGATCCTGGCCATGTAGCTGATCTCAGGTGACCCAATGTTCAACACACCACCAAACTCAGCCACCTCACTCACCATCGACATCGTCGTACCTGAAACCACCATTTAATTTAACACAAGCGCCATACACCATATGACTGAAATTTTCTTTAACTTTCGATCAACTCAATCAAATTATATGTAAGGGAAAGGCGTTTTAAAAACCAAAATATTTATTTTTAAAACTAATACCATTTTTAAACACGAATCCGTTTTGAATTAATTAAAATTCATGGTTAATTATTACACAAGATTTTGATTTTTAATACAAATGTAGATTGTAAAAAATAACAGTTAAAAATTAAAAACACGATGTCAACTGAATATATTATATTTAAAATAGCTGGTTCTTTTTTTTTTACTGATAACTAATTGCAGGTATCTGTATAGATTAGTTTTTTTTTTACCGACAATGTGCTTGTTTCAGTTTTTAAAAATTTTAAAAATAAATAAATATAAAAGCTCTATTTTCAGCTTTTATACCCCACCCGTAGCAAAAATCCTGTTCTATGCCACTGATCTAACGGTGATTAAAACATATGTAAAATATGTTTAAACTATGTAAAATATATATACTCTGTATTTTATGCAAAGCACTATTTTGGTGTCATTCGTGTCTATTTACAAGGCTACTGTAGGATAACACTCTACAAGACTTGACAGGACATTTTATTTTTTCTCCCAACTTGATCAGCAGCAACTGACCTCTTCAATCTTCCACATTTGACGAGTATCACGTAACAGTAGCTGACTGACCTGTTGGGTCCTGCAAGGTTTTGATGATGGCACCAAAAGCGTTGATTTCCACAGCCATCCCCCATTTGCTGAACATTGCCAGTAGCTGCGTGTAGCTCATTCTCTGGGGTGGGGATAGGACATTTACATGTATTTTAGGACATTTACAACAGTTATTTTAGGACATTTACATAGCTATATTTTTGGACATTTACAACAATTTTTAGGACATTTACAGGGCTATATTTTAGGACATTTACAATAGGTGTTAAAGGACATTCACGTTAGGTATTTTAGGACATTTACATAGCTATATTTTGGACATTTACAACAGGCATATTAGAACATTTATATACATGGGGCTTAGGTCAATAGCATACAGGTATTTTAGGAAATCCTAATACATATACTTTAGGATATTTACATACAGGTAATGTATTTTAGGACATCAGCATACAGGTATTTGAGGACAGGTGTTTAAAAAACAATTAAACAGGTATTTCAGAACTCTATTGAAAACCGTATTTCAAAATTTAAAAGATTGCGTTTCTTTTTTTTAGTTAACGGCTAAACATTTAATAGAATTACATAAAACAAAAAATTTACCTACCGAAGCGACCATAGAGAACTAAGACAACAAATTGACCTACCGAGGAGCCCAAACAGAACTAAGACAACAAATTGACCTACCGAGGCTACCAAACATAACTAAGACAACAAATTGCCCTACCGAGGCTTCCATACATAACATACATAAGACAACAAATTGACCTACCGATGATCCCAAACAGAATTACATAAGACAACAACTTGACCTACCGCGGCTCCCATTCGCCTGTACACGGGATTAGACGAGTACTGGTCCATGGGGTTCTGGGACCGTGTGTGCCGGGGGTAGCTCATCCCCACCCAGAAGGTGCCCCTGTCACTGGCCCGGATGTTGTCTGGCAGGCCAGGTAGGTTGTAGGAGAAGGTCGTGATCTGTAGCCAGGTGGGACGCTGGAGGCTAACTCTAAAATATTCACAACAACAAAACATCATTGGAAGATAGGTGGGGCGTTGGAGGCTAACTCTAAAATATTCACAACATCATAACATCATTGGAGGCTAACCCTAAAATATTCACAACATCATTGAATTACGGTTATGAAATGCCTACGTAGACACACTGCAAGGACGCACGCCTATGACCAATCACGTTGCTGAATTAACATCAATAACCACTTATACTCCTTTGACACGACGCCCTAACGCCCCCCCCCCCCCACACACACACCCAAACAACTCAATCGCCGTTAGCTCACATTTTGTTAAAACTAAATCATGTGATTATCAGTGTTTCTTTCAGGCATCTCTTGGGGGATGGGGGGGGGTGGGTAGGGGAAGGAGCGGGCGGGACAGACAACAGACAGACACACAGACACCGCTGCCCCGAATGAAATCGAGTTTATGTAGCTAATATAATTTTTTTACCAGTGTTCGCACCATCGCCCCCCCCCCCCCGTCGTCACCCCCACCCACACAAAAATTTAGTCCGCTCCCTCCCTCCCCTGAATATTCAAGCGCCCCCACTAAACCCATCGAACAAGAAACATTAAACAATAACAACATTATAACAGACACTGCATAGCACTAGCTTTACAACGTACAACAACCCCTACGTCCCACACCCTCACACACCATCAACAACGCCACAAATATCATTCACACAACTATAAAACATCAAAGTGTCAACACCCATTTCCTTTCTCAGACCTTTATAATCCCACATATATCTATATCCCCATATCCCCATATCCCCATACACCCATATCCCCATATCCCCATATCCCCATATCCCCATATCCCCATACACCCATACACCCAAATCCCCATATCCCCATATCCCCAAATCCCCATATCCCCATCTCTCCCCTCACCTCTGTATCCTGACACGTCCTGTTTCAGCCACCAGTAGAGCCGACCCATCGGGCGTGAGTTCAATTCCATTTGGGAACACGAAAAAATTGGGCAACAGTTCTTGTGTGGCGCCATTCTTAGGATTGAGCCATATCAGCCTAGATTAAAGTATTTAAATCTTTAACACAACAATATCTTTTTTTTTTAAATTATAACACAATTTTCATAGATCTAAATAGTTTGTATTTATTCAAACTGTTTTAGTATTATAGCTAGATTCTTGACAGAGCAGAGCTACCTCCCCGTGTGAAAACGAAACACATTTAAACTACCTCCCTGTAGACTAGCGATACACATAAATTATATCCCTTGGCTAAGGACAAAAAAGCTGAACTAACTCTTTGTAAAGTATGAGCTGGATAGAGTATAATTGCCTCCCTTTTCTAATACCAATTCATTGCTTAATTATCCCCCTCCTTTTTTTTCTAACACTTGGATAGGACTGAATTACGTCTCTTTAAAAAAAAAACTGTACATTGCTGACTTACCTCCCCGTAGGCCGCCCCTCCATGCCTATGTACATATCAGCGCCAAACTCGTACGTGTCGCTGGAGTCGGTCATGATGATCATGCCCTCGTTAGTGACCACCATATCGTTCAGGTGGACAGGGACCCTACCACCCACAGGCAAGTCTACACTGTACAGTGGGACGTAGGCGCCTGAAAACATACCACAGGTTTACACGTTGAAGACATTTTTAGCGCAATTTCCATTCTGGAGAATTGCGTTTATTAACCCGTCATTTCTGGATGTATGAATGTATGAATGAATGGATGTGTGTCCGCAGCTTTAAGTCGTATCTC